GGAGAAGGGTGGTGAGTGGGGTTTGAGCCTTGGCCCCCACAACCTCAGAACCATTTCCATCTCTAGAGTCAAATGGCTCCAGGCTGACCCCTTCAGTGAGTGCCAACCTTCAGAGTCACCTTCTGTGAGGCAGAGGTGGCCCCTCAAGTGGGCAGCTCCTGAACAAGGAAGGCACTAGCAACAGTTGCTCAGGACAGCACCCACAGACCACCCACTCCTGCAGGGACCCAGGGGCCAGCCAAGTGCCTTCTCATGCATCCCAGAGATTGTGTAAATGGCAGGGTACACACAACACTGTCTGGGTTTTGGTAGCCTTTGCTGGCCAGCTCCCAAACAAGAATGGTTTACAGTTAGTCCTTTGCCCCCAGGGCGCTCCCCGTCTGCTAATCTCTGGTTTGTTCGAATTCATTGACAACAGATCATTTACTCTTTCGATAATTTCTATTTTTAAAAACCCAGTGTGGCTGGGCGAGGCAGGAGGCCTGAGCTCCACACCTATTTTGTAGCATGCGGACATGAAGGCTGATGCATACCACTAGTTAACACCCGCTCTTCCCAAGTGGGACAGAGACTAAGGAAAAGCTGCCATTATAAAACCCAGTTCGACTTTCTTTTTTACTTTTCACGGAAACTTGAGGCAGCCGGGAATCACCTCTACCTAGGGGCTCGCGGTTGGCGTCATGACTAGCGACCCGACACCAAGAGCTTCACTACAAGGGGCGAAATCCGGAGAATGGTTCGTTGGGGCCAGTTGGGTAGGTTTTAGGATATCCGGGTGCCGGAGCTGGGCGCTCCCAAACCGGGGCTAGGGTCGAGCCTCCTCCTGGCCACCTCCGCTCCCGGGTGCTCTGAGGTCGCCAGAGCTTACTCCCGGGCTCCGCGGTGTAGAACTGGAGGCTACACCCGCGGACAGGACGGCCCCGAGCTCCACCAGTGTGGTAGAGGAAAATTCAGCTAAGGCTCAGACAAAGGAAGTTAACGGGCTTGCCGGTGGCAGCCGCAAAGGGGGCTTACCGATTTCGGGTGAGGCGCCCAGCGGCGAACAACTCAAATGGAGAAGTCCTGTGGCCGACGGACACCTGTCGCCACCGCCACCGGGGCAACGACCCTAAAGCCCTTCCTTCCCCGGCACTGGCTCTCCAAGAGGCCTGTTATGCGGGGCCAGCCCTGGAACCTGGAGGTCCTGGAGGCAGCCAGGCCTCCGAGCCGCATGCTTCCTGACAGCGTCGGAATCCCTCGGCCTGGCCGCAGACCCCGGACCTGATTCTCTGTGGTGTGTGACCCGGCCTCCTGTCACCCTTGGAAGCCCGCTGGAGAGTGCCCACCCAGTAGGCCGCTATTTCCTACAAAGCGAGTAGGCAGGAGAGCTGTGGCCCAGTGACAATTGCTCACTGTAGCACTTTTAAATCCTAAATGTTACACCCAGGCCCGCCCGCCACTTTTGAAACAATCCCTTTTCTCTTTCCAGGTGTGTCCTGGCTCACCCAGGACAAGACTTTGTCCTATCCGTGTCGTTTCCCAGAGCAAAGGGAGGCCAGTTTGAAAAGCGATATCCAAGAGGCTCGAATATGAAGGCCGCGGCTGCTCACAAAAGCTCCGATACGCAGCGTTGGCCTGCAGTGCCTGGGCCTTGCTGTGCATCCAACCGCTTGTAAAAGACAGAACGGCGAGGTCCCTTACCGCCAGCGGAAAAAGGGAGAAGACGTGGAAAAGCGAAACAAAACAAAGCAGAGGCAAGAAAGAAGTGGGGGGGGGAGAAAAGGAAATAAAATTAGGAGAGAGAGACAGAGACAGAGAGAGAGACACAGAGAGAGACAGACAGAGAGAGAGAGAGAGAGAGAGAGAGAGAGAGAGAGAGAGAGAGAACTACTGGTATTGGACGGAAGAAAGGGAAGAAGGCGAGAAAGGCTGGGTCAGGAAGGAAAAGAACAACGCGAATGAACTAGCGTGCCTGTGCCAGCTTGGCAAACACCAACCAGGGGTAACGCTTGGTTTTCCCCCACTCTGCCCGGAGCTAAGAGGCCATTGGATCGCCTGGCCCGGCGCAGCCTTGTTCCTTTCCCTTAGCTTGGGCCCGCGCCGAAGCAGCTGCACGGCTTCTCCCAGACACAGACACAGAAGCCGCGTGGGTTCTGCCACCGGCCGCAGCCTCCTCTTAGCAGCACACCCCGCCCCGCCCCCACCTCGCCCCGACTGCCACCTGCAGCCTCACCTTCCGGGAAGACCGCGCGCATCTTCAGGTAGCTGGTGGTGAGTCGGATGATGGACGCTTTGTCCAGCTGCGAGGTGATGGCCGATGGCAGCGGGAGCAGCTTGGCCAGCTCATAAAACTCGCCATTTTCCTTCTCCCTCCTGGTTTTGGCCGCATTTTTTTTTTTCTCCTTCATCGCGCCTCGGCTCTGGGCATATTAGACCTCGCCGCGCTCCAGGCCCGCGGAGTCCGGCTCGGGCTGCGGCAGCCGGGGGGGGGGCGGCCGGCGAGGGACCGGCCTGGAGCACAGCGCGGCTTCTGCACAGTCGCCAGCCCTGAGTCTGTCGCAAACCAGCTGTGCAGCCCCGGTCTCGGCCTGAGGCTGGCGGATGGACCGTCCTGTGTGGACCTGAGTTGGGCTTTCTGCTCGCTCTTCCTTCTCTCCTCCAGTCTCTCGCTCCTCGACCTTGCAAGGGATGTAGTGTGCGGGTGAGCTGGCGGCGACCCTATTTAGTCCTTAAAGGAAGGCTTGCACCCGCTGCGG